GACCAGGGACACCTTTTGAAGGAGGAGGAGAACGGGGAGGAGGAGGAGGAGGATGAGGAGGAGGAGGAGGAAAAGGAGGAGGAAGAGGCGGAAGAGGAGGAGGAGGAGGAGGAGGAGGAGGAGGAGGAGGAGGAGGAAGGGGAGGAAGAGGAGGAGGAGGAGGAGGAAGAGGAGGAGGAGGAAGAGCAGGAGGAGGAGAAGGGGGAGGAGGGGGAGGAGGAGAAGGAGCAGGAGGAGGAGAAGGAGTAGTCTTACGTCTCCCCGATTTGGGGGCAACGAGGTTGGTACACATCCATTGCACAGGCCCGTCCTCTCCTGGGCCCAGGAGCGGTGCATGTACGCTTCCCTGGCCCAGCCAGGAAGGCGGGCACACGGTCCCTGGACCCACGAGGGGCCAGGCCTCTGGCAACGGGCATCTATGTATGTATGTATGTATGGATGGATGGATGGATGGATGGATGCATGCATGTCTGTCTGTCTGTCTGTCTGTCTGTCTGTCTGTCTGTCTGTCTGTATGTATGTATGTATGTATGTACGTATGTATGTATGTATGTATGTATGTATGTATGTATGCATGCGTGCATGCATGCATGCATGTACTTATGTATAAATACACACATGCAAACATACAATTATAATACCTAATGTATATATACAGGTGTGTACATGTATATATGTAAATAGATGTATATGTGTATATATGCGTACATATGTGTATATATTGATCTCGTCGCCCTGCCTTGGTAACCCCCGAGCGACCCTCGCAGCCTGGGCTCTCCGAGCCTTGGCCCCAGGAACGACGACGAGGCCAGGGCCGGGACGAAATCGGAAAGTCTTCGTCGGAAGGAGTTGAGGGAACTCAGCCCCATTGGGGGGCCGTGATGCTGGATTGGGCCGCGGATGAAGCGGGATTCAGCGGGATTAAGCCGCACGAAGCCGGATGAAACGGGATTCGGCCGGAGTAAGCCAAACGTCGGACCAGGGCAAAGTCAGAAGTTGACCTTCCAGGAGTTGCATCCGACACTTGTCCTGGCAGGGTCGACCTACTCATCGAGGCCGACGGTGTGAGATCTGGCGGTTCCGGGCGCCGCGGCCGCTCCTGAGCGCTCTGGAACGCTCCGAGAGCGCCTGGGGATGCTCTGGACCGAGCTGTCCTGGTCCTACAGTCAGCCCATATAGGAAGGATGCGCGATGAGGATGCAAGGGACTTGGAAGGCCACGGCGAAGCTTTCCAGGCGTGAAGCGCGGCCAACGAAAGTGGCTATGGATGGGCCGAGGAAGCAAGGATGCACGGGGTACCCTTGGGAAGGTTGCCCATTCATCGTATGGGGGTTAACTGTAGCCCCGTCTAGCGGATGCGCATTCACGTGAACGAGGAGGAGGAGGAGGAGGAGAAGGAGAAGAAGGAGGAGGAGGAGGAGAGAAAGAGGAGGAGGAGGGGGTGGAGGGGAGAAGGAGGAGGGGAGGGGGAGGGGAGGGGGAGGGGGAGGGGGAGGGGGGGAGGGGAGGGGGAGGAGGAGGAGGGGAGAGGGGGAGGAGGAGGAGGAGGAGGAGGAAAGGAGGAGGAGAGAGGAGGAGGAGGAGGAGGAGGAGGAGGAGGAGGGGGAGGAAGGGAGGAGGAGGAGGAGGAGGAGGAGGAGGAAAAGGAGAAGAAGGGGGGGAGAAGGAAGAGGAGGAGGAGGAGGAGAAGGAGGAGGAGGAGGAGGAGGAGGTGGAGGGAGGAGGGAGGAGGGAGGAGGGAGGAGGGAGGCGGGTGAGGAGGAGCAGGAGGGAGGACCAGTGTAAACCCAAGGACTGGCCCGCATCCAAAGGGGGGGGGGGAAGCGCGGCCGCGCGAGGCTGCGGGGAGAGCGTGGATCTGTGAGCCCGCCCGCCGCCCGCCAGGGTCCTGGCCGAGGAGACCCCCGACTCGGAAGCCGGCGTGGCCCAAATGCCTCGAGCAGTGCCAAGATTGGGCGCCCGAGTTATCCGGGGTAACTCGGGTCCGGGGTAACTCGGGTTTGGATTCCCGAAAAAGGAACCCGAGTTAGCCCTGACCCGAGTTACCCCTGATGATTCGGGGCTCTGACAAGAGGCGGGGGTCACAACCATCAGACCTGCTCGCGTTGCGAAACAGTTTGGGTGGCCGGAAAAGGGGGTCCAGCTGAAAGGGGGTGGTGCAACCAACAGATTTGGGGCGATTGTATTGCGAATGTACTGCGCCGTAGAATGGATCGCATTGTGTTGCAAATAATACGTTGCACGCGAAAATACAGCAATACATTCGCGCCCCGGAATGTACTGCACGCCCCAAAAGTATTGCAAGCCCCCAAATCTGTTCCACCAAATCTCTATGGCACCACCCCCTTGTCGCTGGACCCCCTATTGGGTCGACCCGAAACAATCAGGTCAACGAGTCCTTGTTCGTCGTCTCGTCATTGGGCGGAGGGGGAGGGGGGGGGTCTGGCTCAGAACCCCTGCTCAGTGCGACTCTTTGCAGCAGCGCGTCCTATGGGGGAGACCCCACAGGCCTGCGCAGGCGCCCAAAACAACCAAGATCCACTCCAGGGGGGGGGGGGGCGAGGGACTCCGGGCCAATCGGCAAAACAATGAATAAGACAACGATCACCACAACGGCGATGTTTGGCCTCCGGGTGGCCCTCGCGGGGCCCCGGGGCCGTCAAGAAAAAAAAACAGCCCCGCGCACAGGGTCGGGACTTGTGCAACGCGTGCTGAAAAAAACGGGACCTCGCACGTCGGGGACCAGGAGTTACCACCTCCTCGTGGAAACCGAGGACCGCGGAGATCGAGGAGCGAGGGGGAGTGGGGGAGTTGGGGGGAGTCGCTGCGCCTTCGGGGGTCCTGGGGGCTTCTGGGGGGGGGGGTCTGGGGGGAGTGGCCTCGGGGGGGCCGTTTCCTGGAGGAGCTGGCAACCCTTGTAGCCTGTCTGGTGGTGGCCACCCCTTGGCACTGCCCGGATGCTTCGGGAGGACGTCGAGGTACCTGACGCCCGTGCCGGTGCGGCCCCGGACCACCTTGAGGCCCAGTACCTGACGCCCGTGCCGGTGCGGCCCCGGACCACCCTGAGGCCCACCTGGCCGGAGCACATCCACGAGGTGGCGCGCCGCTTCCCCCTCTGCCCCGCGGAGCACTGGAGGCCGCCCCCGCCGCCGCCGAGGCCGCCCCCGCCGAGGGCCGCGGCCCGGCTGCCCGTGGGGCCGAGGGCCTGGAAGTCCAGGTGCCCGCACCTCGGAGGAGCACCAGGCGGCATAGGCACAAGTACTGCAGGTCCGTGCCGTGTCGACCCTGGCGTTGGTTCCTGACACCGCGCTGGATCGTTCAACCTTGAACGATCGGCCGTCACCGCAACGTCCGATCGTTCAACATCGACCGATTCTGGGCCGCCGTCGGCGTTCAACGTTGAATGTCGGCGGCGGGGTCGCCGCCGGTCGACACGACGCGAACCTACCGTGAGCTGTCGAAGGGCCGCCCGGCCTCGCCGGATCGGTGCTGGGCCCCCCTCGGCCGAGCATCCCCTCGCCGCTCCCCAGCTCCACCGGCCAGGCCCTGGCCCCTCTGGCCGACCCACCCCCCCTCGGGGGGGGGGGGAAGACACGCTGCTCCTCAGTGAGCGCTTCCTCTTTTCGGCGTGTCGACATTGGGCGACAGGGGGGAGGCGGGGGGTCTGGCTCTGGAAGAACCCCTAAGGGTAGGCAGTGTTTGCGGAATACACATCTGTATGTTTGAAGTAGATTCGTCCCCTTGTATGTATACACGTATACATAGACATGCATGGTCATTATGAGGGCAATCGCCAGTAAACAAGTGCACCTATTTCGTTGAACGCCTCACGCCTGCGAACCGACCCCGGAGAATGTCCACCATGCTGTGCGCGGTGGCGGCTGCGAACACGGTGTCGTGGTCATGCTTCTGTCCCCGCAGCGTCGTGAAACAATCCAGGCGTCCGGGGTCTGGGGAAGCGGCGGAGCTTCTCAGAAGCCCTCCCGACCTCAGGAGAAGCCCTCCGCGTCTCCGGAGACGGCTCGTCGAGAGCTTCTCGCGGAAGGCCTCGAGGCCGCTGCGAGGCGGAGTGAAAAGCTCCAGCGTGCACGGCGACGGATGCTTCTGCGCCAGGAGAGCGGCCGGCGGCGTGCGCTGGACCGATCCCTGGGCTGCAAAGGTTCATCCCGCAGCCCCGCGCAGGGTCGAAAAAGTCGGCCACTCTGCCACCTTCCATCGGCCCCGCCTCCGGCAGCCAGTGCGCTCGTCCCTCGGACGCTTTCAGCGAGGCGAAAATGGCACCGCGCAGGGCCACCGCCCACCGCCGCAGCCACTGCCCAGCCCGTCGTGGGCCGCATTATCATGAAGAACACCCCGGAGGCCTCGCGCGGCAACTCAAGACCCGAGTCACGTCGGACCCACGTCGGATCCACGTCGGATTCACGTCGGGCTCACGTCGGATTGCGTCGGATTCACGTCTGGCGCCGCACGAGGCCTCCAGGGTTTTTTCCTCGTGAACATGGGCCCCCGCTCCTCAGGGCACGCGCCGAGCTCTCAGTCCCACGACGCGGCCATGCACCCGGGCGCGGCGACCCGCTGCTGCGAGGCGGGCGCCGCCCGCCAGGCTCGGCACGCCTCAGAGCGCCGCTCCACCTGGGGCTCGTGGCCGCCCGTGCCGAGCAGGCCGCCGAGCTCGGCGAAGCCCAGGCTGCGCAGGCCGCTCGCGCGGAAGTTCAGGGCCTGGTGCGCTGCCTGCGCCACCTCCAGCGCGGCGTCGCGGCCCGACCCCGCGCCCCGGAGGCACCGAAGAGGGAACGAGCACCACGAGCATAAACTGCTGGCGCTCCGCGCGGACTGCTTGGATCCGCGCCGGACCCCCCTCCCTGGCGCGCGGAGCGCGCCACGGGCGGCGCCGGAGGCGCCGCCAGGGGGGCCCCAGCGCGGATCCAAGAGATCGCGCGGAGCGCCAAAATTGTATGCTTATGGCGTTTTTGCCTCTTCGAACTGTAGAACGCGAACGCCTGCGACTCCTGGGTCCTGCCGGCGTCGGCGTACACCTGCCGCCACTCGGGCACGAGGCGGACACGCCCGGACAGGCTGCGGCTTCTGTTGCGGAAGTTCCGCCATGGCTCGTACGCACCTGATAACAGGCGATCTGTCGACCCCTATCCCAGGCTTCGTGGGGTTTCCGAATGGACCAGAAATTTGGGCCCAACCCTGGGATATACGATGGCGGGGTGTCCATCCTCGATAGCGGTGCGTCCGAATAGCCCCCTTGGGGTGTATCCCCGGGTTTTCCCATTTTTCTGAGCGGCCAAACTTTTCGGGCGAGACTCGGGGATTGGGGGAGAACCATCGCCCGCGACCTGAGGCCATGTGCGAATCGCCTCGCTGGGATAGCACCCGCACGGAGAAGGGGCGGAGCGTGCCGTTGCCCGCGCCGTTCGGGCCCTGGACGTTGCGCCGGAGCGGCACCACGCGAACCACCTGGTCGCCCAGCCACTGGCCGCTCAGCTCCACGCTCTGAATGTACACGCCGCACGGGTCGCCCGCGAAGGGGCTCAGTGAGGCGTTCACTTCGAGAGTAGCGGGCAGCCGCTGGTCCTGGGGGGCCCTGATCAGCACGTAGCTGCCGGGCATGTTGACCTCGAACTTCTTGCCGCTGAGACTCACCAGGTGCGGGTCGTCAATCGCTTGCACCGCGTCGGTTGGGGCAGGGGTCGGAACCTGGGGAGGAGGGAGAAGGAGGGAGGAGGAGGGAGGAGGAGAGGAGGAGGAAGGAGACGCGGGCCGATGCGTATTCAGAACGGGGACCCAACACCACAGGGTGATTGGGAAATACCAAAGGAGAAAGGGGAGGGGGAGGAAGACAAGGCTAAAAGTGCGCTAGCACCACATCCGACGTCCTACCCCTCCCTCCCATCACTTACCACCATGGCGTAGATATCCTATTTATTCGCACAGTCAAATGCCGAGCAGGGCAATGATCCCAAGAGGGTACGCGATGGACGGAAAAGCATGGCGCAGAAGAGCACGGCAGATCATAGCATGTCACAGCAAGGCGTGGCATGGAGTAGTGAAGCAAGGCAGCACACAAAGCATAGCAACGCAAAGCAAGGCATCGCACAGCGGTGCACAACGCACAACACAGCATCGCAGTGCATGCCGTGGCATGGCACTGGATGAGCTGGAGGGCAAACGGCCCGTCTGCGAGAGGACAAAACCTGTCCGGAATGCCGGCTCCATGTACTCCGCAGGCGTGCACGCCCGATGTGGGCGCTTTCGAGTGCCAATTGCCGTCCAGTGGGGGTACACCCTGCGAGATGCTTTAGAAATCATGGGTTTAGAAATTGAGAGTCTCAGAATTCAAATAAAAACCCAGAATGTCCATTCAAATCTTAGGATTTACATTGAAACATTAAGAAGAATCAAGACTCTGGCCGAAAACTCAAGTTTTCTTAAGCATCGCCTAAGGGGTACTGTAATTTTTTGAAGCCCCCCCTCCTTTCAACACGCTGCCTTGCGATGCCCAGACCCCCTTCCAGGTCTCCCTGGGCTCCGCGGAGCACCGAGGGCCCAGGGCGACCCGCGGGACGAGGCCAACGCTGCAGCGGGAACACGAGTTTGAATAAGGGAAGCGCGGAAATGAGGGCGGCGCTGCAGCGGGAGCACCAGTTTGGAAGAACTGGAAACGACGGGATTGAAAAAACACATAAGGAAAACCAAAGAATGGCATCCTGGGAGAAAACAAAAACACACACACACACACACACACAAAAAAAAAAAACATACGCGGAAGGGACGGGACACTCCCAGGACAGAGTCGGGGGAGAGAGGAGAGCAGCATTCATAGATGTGCGATTGCAGAGAGGAACGGGGGAGAGAGGGAGAGGGAGGAGGAGGCGGAGGACGAGGAGGCCGAGGAGGCCGAGGAGGGAGCAGGGGGAGGCAGCAGGGAGAGGGGGCGGCGGGAGGACGGGCAAGCACCGCTGCAGGGGGCGCCCAACGGCCTGCGGCTCCACCACGCTCGGCGCCCCCACCGCGAGCGCGCCGGCGTCGAAGGCGACGCCCGCGTCGGAGAAGTGCGCGCCGAGCTGGCCGGCGAGGGCGGCGGGGTCGGCCTCGAGAGGAAGGGGGCGCAGAAGGACAGACGCCGACTGCGGGTGGATATCCACGGATCCACCCTTTCCCCGACTCTTTGCGCCGCCCTGGACGAGGCGGCCGCGTGTTGCCCACAGACGCATGCGCCCTGAAGTGTGCTGCTGCACACAGCGACACCCCATGTGTCTACAGACGCTCGTGGCTAGAGGCATCCGAGATGGGGTCAGAGTAGATGGGGCCGGAGGATCGCGCCTCATCGCCGATACATCAGCGATGCATCGGCGATGCATCGGTGATGCACGGGGGATGTATCGTCGGCGTCGGCGATACATCGGCGACGTCGACGTGACGCAAATCGGGCCCAACATCGAGCCGCATCGGCGATGCATCGGCGATGCGGCGCAATCCTCCGCCCCCACCTACTCCGACCCCATCCTGGAGGCCCAGAGTGGCTAGAGAGAGAGAGAACAGCGCACAGGCCCCCCAGATCGGCTTTCCCAAAAGTAGGCGTACACCCTGCCCTCCACGGTGGGGCACAGAAGCTCATACCAGGCGTCCCCGCCGTGGCGCACGTCCGATTCGAACAGATCGCACAAGCATCTTAGAAGTTGTCGTTACCCAGCATCGACAGATTTAGCAGCATCTAGATGTCGCCAACATCGTGTAAGGTTGATCCTATGAGTGCGAACAGATCGAACACTCGATCAGCGCGTCGCTACCCAGGCGGTGCGGGCAGAACGCCCCAGCCGCGGAGCATGATAAAGCTCACGAGCGCACGCGTCGCCCCCGCGTGGCCGACGCGCAGAGGGTGTGAGCGTGCCGCCAAAGAAAGGGTCAGAGGACCAGGCTGACCAAGATGAAGGGGCCCTGGGACACACAAATAAGTACACACAAATAACAGGATTCCCCATATTTCCCCATATTTGCTGGGTTTTTGTCTTCCCCACCACTTCCCATATTTTCCCATATTTTCTGGGGAATCGATGATTAATTGTGTCTGTATTTTTTCCCCTCCTGACAAGAGTGCCCCCAAACATCCGAGGTTTCGACAACATCGGAGCGGACGGTTTTCGGCCTTACCTGGGGTCGTCAAGGGGCCCCTTGCCCGACATGAAACAAATGAAGAGGAGAAAGCATGTCGAATGAATTTGTCCACACCTCCGGGGCCCACGCATCGGACCAAAAAAAATCGGCCGGATGTCTGGACCAACACGACCCCAGAAGCGCCCGCGCAAGCGGGTGCCCACGAAACCAATCCAAGGACCCGAGACGCCCCAAAGAGGCCCGTAAACGGTCACATGAGGCACCAGACAGCCTCAACCGGAAATTTCTCCCTGGTCACGTCTCGGCCGAGGGTTCCAATCGTAACGAACTTACTAACTGCGTGGAGCTCCCCATATGTGCATCTCATGTTTTATGTCATGCCATAGCGAGCGTCTGTTCATGAGCGCTTGACTATAATAGCGCGTCCACGTGGGCGACAAGGCCGACGAAGACGAGTGAATCCTGATGCGAGTGAGTGAGTATGAGTAAGAGCGAGCTTTGAATATCTTTGGAAATGAACCTCCCATTCAGTATCCCTCCTCAAACTGGCCCCTGAAACCAGCGCCCCGCCTGAGACATCCTCAAAATCTGCTCTGACAGCCAAGGATGTTGGGCATGAAAACAAGCAAACCGCCTGAGACATCCCCACAAACTGGCCGCGAACGGGCCCGTGCAAACACCCCCGGCGGTTCCCCTTAGGGGTGCTGAAACCAGCGCCCCGCCTGAGGCATCTTCAAAACTTGCTCTGAAAGCCAAGGATGTTGGGCATGAAAACGAACAAACTGCCTGAGACATCCCCCCAAACTGGCAGCGAACGAACCCGTGCATCCACCCCTGGCGGCTCCCCTTAGGGGTGCTGAAACCAGCGCCCCGCTTGAGACATCCTCAAAATCTGCTATGAAAGCCAAGGATGTTGGGCATGAAAACAAACAAACCGCCTGAGACATCCCCACAAACTGGCCGCGAACGGGCCCTTGCAACCACCCCTGGCGGTTCCATGTTGAAACCAGCGCCCCGCCTGAGACATCCTCAAAATCTGCTCTGAAAGCCAAGGCGGCTGCGCATGAAAACGAGCAAACCGCCCGAGACATCCCCACAAATTGGCCGCGAACGGGCCCGTGCAAACACCCCTGGCGGCTCCCCTTAGGGGTGCTGAAACCAGCGCCTCGCCTGAGACATCCTCAGAATCTGCTCTGACAGCCAAGGATGTTGGGCATGAAAACGAGCAAACCGCCTGAGACATCCCCACAAACTGGCCGCGAACGGGCCCGTGCAACTACCCCTGGCGGCTCCATGCTGAAACCAGCGCCCCGCCTGAGACATCCTCAAAATCTGCTCTGACAGCCAAGGCGGCTGCGCATGAAAATGAGCAAACCGCCCGAGACATCCCCACAAACTGGCCGCGAACGGGCCCGTGCAAACACCCCTGGCGGCTCCCCTTAGGGGTGCTGAAACCAGCGCCTCGCCTGAGACATCCTCAAAATCTGCTCTGACAGCCAAGGATGTTGGGCATGAAAACAAGCAAACCGCCTGAGACATCCCCACAAACTGGCCGCGAACGGGCCCTTGCAAACACCCCCGGCGGTTCCCCTTAGGGGTGCTGAAACCAGCGCCCCGCCTGAGGCATCTTCAAAACTTGCTCTGAAAGCCAAGGATGTTGGGCATGAAAACGAACAAACTGCCTGAGACATCCCCCCAAACTGGCAGCGAACGAACCCGTGCATCCACCCCTGGCGGCTCCCCTTAGGGGTGCTGAAACCAGCGCCCCGCTTGAGACATCCTCAAAATCTGCTCTGAAAGCCAAGGATGTTGGGCATGAAAACAAGCAAACCGCCTGAGACATCCCCACAAACTGGCCGCGAACGGGCCCGTGCAACCACCCCTGGTGGCTCCCCTTAGGGGTGCTGAAACCAGCGCCCCGCCTGAAGCATCCCCAAAATCTCCTACGAAAGCCAAGGACGTTGGGCATGAAAACGAGCAAACCGCCCGAGACATCCCCACAAACTGGCCGCGAACGGGCCCGTGCAACCACCCCTGGCGGCTCCCCTTAGGGGGTGCTGAAACCAGCGCCCCGCCTGAGACCCGCCTGAATATGAATAAGTTTGTGTGTGAGTAAGTTTGTGTTTGTGTACGTCTGGGTATGAGTAAGTCTGAATATGAGTAGGTCTCCGTATGAGTAAGCCTGTGGGTGAGTAAGTCTGGACATGAGTAAGTCTCCTATGAGGAGACGAGACAAGGAGGGGACGAGAAGAGGAAGGAGCAGGAGGAGGAGGAGGAGGAGGAGGAGGAGGAGTAGGAGGCGCCCAAGTAATAATTACTCGACGCGGGGCTCCCCACATGTGCATCCCATTCTCTTGGCACGTCTTTCTACTGATATCTGCCAATGAGCGCCTGTGTGCGAGGGCGAACCGCTCGCTCGAGACATCCCCACAGGCTGCAAGCGTGAGTGCGACCAATAGCAAATCTGAGAGCGACTGATTCTGAGTGTGAGTTAATCTGGGTGCGATTGAGCCTGGGTTTGAGTGGGTATGCGTGTGAGTAAATATGAGCGCGAGTGCGTCTGTGTGCGGGTGGGTCTGGGTATGGACGAATCTGAGTGTGAGCCAGTCTGTGATTGAGCGGATCGTAGCATGATGGGTCTGAGCATGAGTGAGTCTGGGCTTGAGTGGGTCTGCGTGTGAGAAAAAGCGTGTGTTAACGAATCTGCGTGCGAGTGAGCCGAGTGTGATTGGGTATGGATGTGAGGCAGTCTGAGTGTGAGGTGGTCTGCGTTTGGGCGGGCCGAAGGATGATGAGTCTGAGCAGGAGCGGGTCTGAGTATGAGTGGTCCTGAGCGTGAGTCTGAGTGCGAGTAAGTTTAAGTATGAGTATGAGCGAGTCTAAGTGCGAGTGGGCCTGCGTGTGACTGAGTCTGAGTGTGAGTGGGTATGAATGCAGAAGGGTGAAAGAGAGCGGAGAGCGAAGGAGAGTGAGGCGGAGGCGTTTGAGTAAAACCTACAGCCTTGGAACATCGAACCTCGATCGTCTGGCCCTGGCTACTCGAGTTGCCCACGTCCTCCTCCTCGTCCTCCTTCTCCTCATCATCATCCTCATCATCCCCTTCCTGCTTCTGCTCCTACCGTGTTCATGCCTTCCTCCTCCTCCTCCTCCTCGCTTCCTCATTATCTTATCCTCCTCCTCCTCCTCGCCTTCTCCTTATTATTATTATTATGATGATTATTCGTCTTCGTCTTATTAATAATATTATTAGTATTATTATTCGTATTCTTATTCGTATTATTATTCGTCTTCTTCTTATTCATATTATGATTACTATTATTATTCGTATTCGTCTTCTTACTATTATTATGATTATTATTATTAATAATATTATTCGTATGCGTGTTCTTATTTCTCTTATGATTATTCTGATTAGTATTATTATTTGCTTCGTATGTTTCTTCTTCTTCTGTGTTCCTCCTCCTCCTCCTCCTCCTCCTCCTCCTCCTCTTCCTCCTCCCCTCCTCCTCCTCCTCCTCCTCCTCCTCCTCCTCCTCCTCCTCCTCCTCTCCTCCTCCTCCTCCTCCTCCTCCTCCTCCTCCTCCTCCTCCCCCTCCTCCTCTTTGGGAGTGCTGAAACCAGCAAATCGCCTGAGACATCCTCCCAAAACTGCTCCGACAACGACAGATGCCCAGCATCGTAACGGCCAAACCGCCTGAGACATCCCCGCAAACTGGGCGCGAACGTCCTCCAAATCTGCTCCGAAAGCGAACCATGTTGGAAGAGAAAATGGCCAAACCGCCTGAGACATCCCCACAAAATCCCGCGAAAGGGGCCGAGTGAAATAAACCCCCCGCCGCTCCCCTTAGGAGTGCTGAAACCAGCGAATCGCCTGAGACATCCTCCAAATCTGCTCCGAAAGCGAAACATGGTGGAAGAGAAAATGGCCAGACCGCCTGAGACATCCCCACAAAATCCCGCGAAAGGGGCCGAGTGC